CACACAGAAAAGACTCATTTTGAAATCCCTCATATTCCTTGGCCCTTTATTACTGCCAAACAAGACAGGTTGGAAAAAAGGAGCACCTGAGACTGTGACAAAAAATAATAATTAAAAAAAAAAAAGCAAAAGCCACAGTCCTGGCCTGGCTGTATTCTTAAAGATAACTATCATGTCAAACTATGGTGACCACCTTAGCTGTCTTTTTCCCCCCAATGGCTCTTTTGAAGAGAGCAGTATTCATTAGGATGCAGAAATGCCACCTTTGCAAATACTTCATTGTGGCCATACTTCTTGTATAGTAATCAACAGGGCTAATGACAAGCAAATTTTGATAAGCCCAAAAGCAGCAGTTCATGCAAAGATGGGACACTTCATTGCTTTTGTTAAGGTTATGTTTTGTCTGGCATACTATTCTCAAATAATGAAGATAGAAATCTGTTGTGATAGATGTACAATGAGGTGGATAAACCATCACCTTTAAAGTGATATCCACAGAGGAACAGTGAGTAGGGTAGGCTCATGTTCTGTGGTGTAAAGCTGACACTAACTGTTGCCAAAGTGAATTCTACATTATTTTCTCCATTTCTGTCAGTTCACAGAATTCTCATCAAGTTTTTCTTTTTAGGGCTCTTTTCTTCTCTCAACAGGAGAAATGCTGTCTGGCAAAGTGATGAACTGTTGCCTGATGGACCTTTGCACTAATCAAGTTCAAATCAAGATTATTTCTTGTGTATTGCAACATGCCAACTTGTGCTCCATTTACATTCTTGCTTGAATCAGTGTCTTGTTCCTATGGCTGCTTCCCCCAGCTAACGGGCATCCAGGGTCCCACTGAGCTCTCATAAACACTCTGCACAACTTTTACAGTAATTATCGTTTCATGCATTTGACTGCAAAATTTGGGTTTCTGTATTCCCTCCACTGCTTCATCTTAAGAGTTTTGGGACTTTCTTTGTAACAGATTGTGAGTGCAGAGTTTTAAAACTATTTGTTGACAGCATTAAGTGAAGACACCTGTCAGAAAATTAGTTAGTGTTGAGGGCACCATTGTATTTAATAATATTTTTATCTCTAGAGAAGAAAGCAGTGTTTAATCTTGTTAAGTATGATTTCTGTAGGGAATATTTCATCTAAGATTTTTGGTAGATATTACTACTTGCCTCTCAATATTTATTTTTCCCTGAGCAATTTGCATACCTCTATGTTGGGAGTGATGAATGAATTATGGTCCTTGAACTGCCCAGAGACAGAGGCAATACCTCTCTTGGGAATTTCTCTGTGCAGAGGCACCAATTGAAGCCCAGTTGCTATGGTGATGTCCTGTTCAAAAGGGGGTTCTGCCAGCCACAGAATTTATCAATTTTTAACCTTCAGTTCAAATGCCAGCTGCTTAGGGATAGAGAGTTATGGGGGCAAGCTGGTAATTAAAATTAGGATGCACAGAAGTTTGTCCTTCACTTTGAGTACTTTGAAGAAACTTTCACACAATGCATCCTTTTAATGATGTATAATAACATCCTCTTAATGATGTATGTATAATAATACATAATAATGTATAATAATACATAATAAATGAGCTGAACTGACTCATGGTCATTGCACTCCATCTGACTCTGGTGCCCACCGGGTCTCAGCTTTTTCTCTATTTGTGTGTCCATTTGTTTTTTCTAATCCCTTATTGCCCCTCCACCATTTTCCTGAATTAACCATTGTGCAGGTTGTGGTATTTCTGGGCTATAATTTCCAGCTCCTTTTCAAGTTGTGAGATATAAGTAGGAGTTGTTCTTCAGGATTCTGGGATCACTAAAGGAAACTTTTAGCCTTCTAGGAGATAAATTGTTTCACCTGGGAAGCAGGTGAGATTACTGAAGACTCAGTGGGTATCATGGAGTATAAGGTAATTTTGAGGATGTTAAGATTTATTAATTAGGGTTCTCTAGAGAACAGGAGGTATGACTATAAAAGGGGGATTTATTAGATTGGCTTAAACAACCAGAATCTGGATAGTCCACAATGGCCACCTGTAGGCTGGAGAACTAGAGGAACAAGTAGCAGCTGTGCAGTCCAAGATGCTGAAGGCTCAGAACAAGAGGGATCAATGATGCTACCCTAGTCTGAGACTGAAGACTTATGGAAACCACCTGGAGAATCACCCAAAGAGTCTGCTTTGAAGGAGTGAAGGAGCTAGAGTCTGATGTCCTCTGGTGATTGCAGCAGCAATCAAGAACCCGTTCAAGAAGAATCGAGCTTTCAACTGCTGCTGCTTCCTTGACCTTTCAACTTTTCTTCCATCCAAGCCCCCAACCTATTGAATGGTGCTGCCCATGCTTAGGGTCTCTACTTCAGTTCACTATCCCTCATGCCAATTATTCCTAGACTCACTCTCAAAGACACACTCAGAAGCCTCTTAATCTTCAGCATCTTTTAATCCAATCAAGTTGACAATTCAAAATAACTATTATATCTATCTTATTGAGAACAAAATACTAGGTCTCTGATGTTCATAGACAGACATTTCTATTCTTTAAGATTATTAAAATATTTTTTCCTTACACCCTGGTTTAATTCTAGCCAACACAGAATTTCAGTGAATACTCAAAACAACGTTAAATGGCATGATATAGTTATTCAAAGTGTTAATAAGAAGTCATTGATATTTCCTGTGTGGTAATGCATGCCTGTAATCCCAGCAACTCAAGAGGCTGAGGCAAGAGGATTTCAAGTTTGAGGACAGCCCCAGCAATTCAGTGAGACTCTGTTTCAAAGTCAGAATTACAATGGATTGGGGGCATACCTCAGTGATAAAACACCCCTGGGTTCAATTCCCAGTATTGAGGGGAAAAAAGAGGAATTAAAAGGGTTCACTGATACTATTGAGACTTTCTTAAAGAGCAAAACATTGCTCTTCAAGTTTTTATGATATCCAAGCAGATTGTATCCTAACCCTATAGCAAAGCAACTGAGTTGTAGCCAATCTGAGTAGCTGACTCTTCAGCTGATTTCAGGATGAAGGCTGCCAAATTATGTCCCAAAAAGCTAAATTGAAGTAATCAGGTATCTCTGCATCATATCCTGCCTTTCTATTTACAAAAATAGCAATCCTTATTGTAATTTCCAGCTTCAATCTGAAATTCTGCTCAATTCCAGAAACCTCTTGTTAAGTAAATTTTGTTAAATTGAACGGTCTCACTTTTTTTTTAATAGTTAAAACGCTTAAAATAAATAAGGTGGAAAAGGTGTCAGTTGTGTCATTCTTGATCCTCCTACATGGTTAATTAATCCAACAAATATTTAGATACAAAACATTTATGCTATGTACTAAAATTAAAATGACTGGCAATAGATTTGATCTCTGTCAACCTGATTTGTATTTTCTAAGCACAGTAATATATACAATAATATACAAAAAAAATTCTCTTGTCCTCATGAAATTTGTATTTCATGCTCCAGTTGTGTTGGTTCAGGCAATCAGTAAATATATGGTTATAGACATAAATATATTGATCATAATTAAGTAAAATAGAGAAAACTCAAGTAGAAATAATAACCCCTACATTGTATTTTGATAAATGGCAAGAATTTAAAGACTATATATATATATATATATATATATATATATATATAGAGAGAGAGAGAGAGAGAGAGAGAGAGAGAGAGAGAGACAGTCTGATTCATGGTAGACCTTCCCAAAACTATAATTTTGGTTGTTGTTTTTATTAGGATTATGGCATGGGAATAAAATAATGTGAAAGATGTGATAAAAATCTATGGAAGAGAAAACATTAGAATTTACTGATTACTCTTGTCATTTAAGGGAGGACAGAGAAATAGGATTTGAATTCTAGCCTCCAGTATATGATTAACTTAAACAAGCTAAAGTATTTTTATATATGGAAAATATGTAAAAATAATTTCAACAAAGAAAGAGAAGGCAGTCTGAAATGTGTCAGGAAAAAGTACACCTAACCGTTGGAGTAACAAAAGAGCATTCATAAAATGAAACCCTGTGTACATTGCTGAATTAACATCTCTGAAGAGCTCTAATGAGAAATTTAAACAAGGTGAAAGCTGACTTAGTTACTTTCTTTAGAGGGACCCAACTACAAGCCCCTAATAATTCCATGATTTCTTATTCTCTGAAGATGCTTTTGTTGGTTCCCGGAGTAGGCCTTGGAGGAAATCCAGAAGGCAGCTTAGGGAGTGGCGACACCCAGCTGAGTCGCGATCCACTTGGTGAGTGGTCTGTCTGTGTGGGACAGGAGTACCGGACTTTGCATCCGCTATGCAAATTTCCTGAAGTCACTCCGTACTCTAACACTGCCACTCCCACTTGCCCTTAATGATTAAACATACAAAATAGAAAAAAGTAAAAATCTCTGATTACCATTTTGAAGACACTTCTTTTTCTAATGAGGAAAAACCTGAGTCATATGTGCCACGTTGTTAACAGGGTTAAGATAAAGTTCAGCCAAGTGAAGTAGGGTGAGGCTTCATTTTAGGAGGAAAGATTGTAAATAATAATCACACTTTCAGTGATTGCACAGAACAGCTAGTCAAAGAGCACTTCCCCTCTTGTGGTGAGAGGTGACCCACCCTGCAGAACTGGTGAGGCACTGAGGAGGGGGTGGGAAGGCAGCTGCAGCAGAAACTGGGTGGAGGTGGGGGTGCTGTGTCAGGCCAGAGGGTCACCATGATCTCAGATGGCTATAGAGGAAGTTTTCATCATCTCTGTAGCTGGCTGAGAAAGTTGTACTCAAGTATATATCCACATTTTATTATGTTATATGAAACCAAATCCTTTAGCTTTTTTAATGAGTGAAATATTGATATTCTGGTAACATTTTCTTGAAGAAAACAAACTATGAATCTTTTTATTTGGGGCACTGAGAAAGACACTATTAACATAAGTATTCAGAATAAAGGCACTGAGATAGAACCTTTTTTTCCTTTCCCCTCCTCTTCCTTCCCCTCCCCTTCAGCCCCTCCCCCTTCTTGCCCAGGTTTATACCACAAATGTCAAAAGTCTTGATGTCCTATTTTGAAAGAGAAGTTATTTAAGAATAACCATGTTTGAAACCTGGAAATGGTTTGGGATTAAGGTCTTTCAACAGAAGATTCCTATGAAGTTTATGGGGAAACTAATGCCTAGAAAGGTAAGGTCCTTTTTCTTAGTTAAATGGAGAGACAAGGCTCAGTGTTCTTAAGGAGAGCCTTGGCTGATTCCGTGATCACCTTCATTGAGGCATCTTTAATACCCATATTCTGGTATTAAAGGCAGCGACCAATCTAGTTTGTTGAACTGGGGCAGTGGTTGGCCCAGCGTAAGAACCCGTACCTAGTGCTGCTCCAGACACTTCACCTGCATCCCTCCTTGTAGCTCCTACAATGCTCCTATTTGGTAGCTGCTGCTGTTATTTCCATTTTATGGATACAGAGACATGGTCCCGGTGCAGCTGCACTATTGGCTCAAGCTCACCTGGCTCGTAAAGAGACAGCCAGAGATCCATTTTCAGAAGCTGAGTGTATACCAGCATTATCAATTTAGGAAGAAATGGTTATTCTAAAAAAACAGTATCTTTATTTTGACATAAGAAAATGTCCACTTGTGAGAGAGCAGACACTCGACCTGAATTCTTCTTAACAACGTTTGAACTGGGAAGACATTGGTACTACAACTTCCTGGGGACTTTATTATGGCAGAGAATATTGGAATACCATTAGAGATGTGAATTTTTATTATTGAGTAAATCTAAACTAAAAGTGCTTATTGGATATAACTGGACATATTAAGTATCTGAGCAAAAGAACAAAATTTTCACGTGTTTCAACTTTTTTTTTAACTTCTATATTTTAGTAACCACCACTAGTAGATAATAGCAACACTGAGGAATTTTGTACTTAATATTAAAATCAGAAGAGATAACGTGTGAAACTTTTTCTTCATTGACACTTTTGTCTACATGATTAGTATTACTTCTGATAACCACCACAGTTGTGATTCCAGTGGTTCCAATTTCAATTTATAAATAAGAACCATGAATATTTGGCTAACCTATCAAATCATATGTGTGAGAGGCAAAAACCAGTGTATTACTTGGAACCAGAGATTCTGGGTTGAAAATCCAATGCCATTTTTACTGCACTTCATTTTTCTAATGGCTTATTTCAGAGACAAAATAGGAAAGAAATTGTATAATATGGATGATGTAGAAGGATAAACTATTCTAATTTCTATTAGTCCCATTAGATCAACTGATCTCGGATGTGGGATTTTCCGTTGCTAGACTTAGAAATCCCCAGAAAACGACATGGGTGAATCATCTTTTATAAACCTGAATGTTTAGATGATTTAAAACAAAACAACTGTTGGCATTAATAGCCAAGTCTATTTTTTTAATATATGAAAAGTTTAGCACGTTATTAGGTCAGTTGTGACTGTGAATAAATTAATAAATAAATGAGGTTATTTATGACTCCCATTAAAAACAGGAGGAAATAAAGACAGCAGAGTGTGAATGCTCTATTTCAACTCATTAAAAACACATAATCATAAAGCCTAGGACCATGAAGAAGGCTTGAGTGGAGGGAAGTTAGTGACCAGTGAGATCTGAAATATTGTTCAGACTCAGGTCAGATATTTCCCCCTGAGGGTTTAATGAGAGATTGATGAAGTTTAGAACAAAACACTGTTTTTTTCCTCAGTTAAACGGAAAATATAAATGGAATTTCTATCATTTTATCAGTATGAAGTTGCAGACTAAAGCTTGCAACTTCTTCAAAGTATTAATGATCAGTATCATTAATTGCAAACCTACTCTGTTCCAGACATTGTTGTAGATGTTTTACATTTAATCATCACCACAACTATGTGAAAGAGGTATTTTTGTTTAATCGGTGGGGAAACTGAGGCATCTTTGACATGGCAAAGCTGGAATGCAAACTCAAATGGTCCTAGAGTCCATGTGTTTAATTTCTATGTTGCATCCAAAGGTGTGGCAGGAAATGGGTACTTCTATTTCTGGACAACGCTCACTTTGAAATAATTTTCAACTGTATGAGAAGCAAGGCAGTAGGAAAGGAGAAGGAGGTACTGCAGGGTGAGTGGTAGAGTGTGGGAAGAAATATTGACTGGTGCATTATTAGTGGGATTCTCAGATGCTTGATTCTCCCTTTCTCCTGCGTTCTCATCAAACAGTCTTCCCTTCAGTGGCAGTGTCCATACTACCTTGGTACTTGCATTGTTAACACACCCACATAAGATATGAGGAAAAGGAAATGTCAGGTCTATACAGCAATCCCTCTTTACCCACACATCCACATGTACCGATCTCCTGAGGATATCTTTGTTTCATTCTGTACCTTATTTATTTTTTAATGGAATTATATCACAGTAATCTTTCATAATTGGATTACAAGGGCCCACGTATTATAGCAATATTTCTGCAGAAAAGTTCATTACAATTTTTAATACTCGAGATGAAATTAAGAGAATGTTCTCTGCCTTTGTGATTAGACTGAGATCTACAGGTACAAATTTTTTTCTATAGAGTGATTTTTAATTGTCAGCTTAGTAAATAGAATAAGCTTAGACTGTGGAGTCAGTTACAAACTTCAAAAGAAATATATTCATTCTAGGTCTTTTTCTGTTCAGAATATTTTATCTGGTCTTTTCTATAAGAAGACATTATTTTGGACTTTCCCAATGAAAATATTCTCTTCATTCTTTTTTAAATTTTATTCTTTAAAATTTTCATGTGTTTTAGTTAGTTATACATGACAGTAGAATGCACTTATGCACTTTGATATATCATACATAGATATAATTTCATTTTTCTGAGTATACATGTTGCAGAATCATATTGGTCATGTAGTTTTATATATATATATATATATATATATATATATATATATATATATATATACAGTAATAATGTCCATTTCATTCTACTATCTTTCCTATCCCCACATCCTTTCTTCTCCCCTCCCATCACTTCCTGCTACCTAATCTAAGGTAACGCTATTCTTCCCTAGTGTGGTAGAGTGTGGGAAGAAATATTGACTGTGAATTAGCATCTGCATATTAGAGAAAACATTCAGCCTTTGGTTTGGTGGGATTGGCTTATTTTGCTTAGCATGATATTTTCCGACTCCAACCATTTACTGGCAAAATGCCTTAATTTCACACTTCTTTAAAGCTGAGTAACATTCCACCGAGTATATATATACCACATTTTCTTTATCCATTCATCTATTGAGGGATACCTAGTTTGGTTGCATAGTCTAGCTATCGTGAATTGAGCTGCTATAAACTTTGATGTGGCTGAGTCACTACAGTATGCTGATTTTAAGTTCTTTGGGTATGAACCAAGAAGTGGGATAACTGGGTCAAATGGTGGTTCCATTCCCAGTTTTCTGAGAAATCTCCATACTGCTTTCCATAGTGGTTGCACCAATTTGCAGTCCCACCAGCAATGTATGAGTGTGCCTTTTACCCCACATCCTCGCCAACATTTATTGTTGCCTGTATTCTTGATGATTGCCATTTTGACAGGAGTGAGATGAAATCTTAGAGTAGTTCTGATTTGCATTTCTCTAGTTGCTAAAGATGTTGAACACTTTTTCATATATTTATTGATAAATTGTGTTTCTTCTGTGGAGTGTCTTTTCAGTTCCTTAGCTCATTTATTGATTGGGTTATTTGTTTTTTTGCTGTTAAGTTTTTTGAGTTCTTTATATATCCTAGAGATTAATGCTTTATCAGAGTTGCATGTGATAAAGATTTTCTCCCAGGGTGGAGGCTCTCTCTTCACAATATTAGTTGTTTCCTTTGCTGAGAAGAAGCTTTTTAACTTGAATCCATCCCATTTATTGATTCTTATTTTACTTCTTGAGCATTAGGAGTCTTGTTAAGGAAGTCATATCCTACAACGAAGTGGTGAAGATTTGGGCCTATTTTTTCAGATGGGTACTAGGAACGAAGTTGCTAAATATTTCAAACCACTAGTTTCACGTTTTTAAATGTTTATGTACATGTAGAGCAAAGAAAAGGCTTTGGAGTTACATAGGCTTGGATTCTTTTTTTCTGTGACATTAGTCAAGTCTCTGCTCCCCTTTTTCTTTATCATTAAAATAGACAAGGAAGACAGCTTATGCAGTCTCTAGAAGTATAAGAATTAAATTTGTAGAACTAAAAATCCTAATATATAGTTGAAAAACAGTAGGTATATGTTTAATACAAGAACTGCCTGTTTCCTAAAAGTTCTATATTTCTTGTGGACAAAAATAGAGCAAAAATTGATTATTAACAGGGACAAGTTTGTCAAAAAATTTCCCTGCTTCTGAATTTATATCTATCTACTTATACAGACCACCAACTTGAACGCTCTCTTCCATCCTTAATAGATGCTAATGTGTTAAAAGAAAATGTGCTTATATGATTCATTCAAATAGAGTGATTCCAATGTTCCTTGTGTAATTTCAAGTCTAGCCAGAATCTCAAAATTTCAATTATCTTAAGAGCTGGTGAGGAAATATTCCCACGTGTGTCACATGAACCCAGAGCTGGCAGAGTTAATGATCCTGTGATTAAGAATTAAGTCTTATAAATTAAAAATTTCTAACAGTTAAGATATAAGGTCATAAGTTAAAATGAGTAAGTGTTGGCATTGACAACTCTTCTTCTTGAAGATTTTTTAAATGCACCTGAACAAGGAAATAAGGGTCTAAGAGAAATAGTGAAGGATTAACACCTTTTTTTTTTCTGGAGAGTTTTGAAATGAATATTATTACCCTTAAGTATTCAGAAGGCTAATATGTACGACCTCATATAAAACCTCCAAAAGTTCAATTGTTACTGTAAATGATATATAATTCAGATACCATTCTTTTGAGGGAGGTATTTTTGAATTCGGAGAGCAATTATAAGAAACTGAATAGTTGTTGCCCTTTAGAACTTTTCTGTGTTCCCATTCCTTCTACTTTCATTCTTGTCCTTTTACATCTTCATTAGAGGAATTTATTATAATTGGACATTTCTAATTAAAATGAAGCCCTCAGAAACAATTGCTTCAGGCACAAGAAAGAAAATGTTAATTTTCAGACTGATGAACAGTATTTTTAAATTACAGAATGATTTTGTGAACTTCCCTGCCATGACAACCAGGAGAAATTTACTACGACTGGGGGAAACTCAAAATATATTATGTGTTTTAAATAATTATGTTTGTTTGTACTCAAAAGGATGTGTTTATTGTGATACTCCCATAAATTCATAATGATGTCTAGAAGGGGCTTAATGTTTTATGATGTAGATATTATAACATGCTATAGAATGCCAACTCTGCCCATGGAAAGGGAAGCAATTTATTCAAGAAGTTCATGATACCCAAGGATTGAGTGGACCATCTGACTTAGAATCACATCTCTAGCCTCCATGTCTTAACCTTTGCTCCTGTAACTTGTCTTGCTTTGCCTAGATGATGCTTCTCCTTCTGTTTCTTCTTTGCATATGCTATTCTCTCTGCTGAAAACACTCTTTTCCATTCACTGAAAACTCCTCTGTCCACATCACACTATAGTACATAGACTATTCACTTCCTTCTATCTGATATAATAAAAATAAAATGGAATTTGGACTCAGATTGACTTGGGTTTGAACTAAGATGATAACAGGAACACTAATTTTCCACTGAGTCTAAGTTTCCCCATTTGTGAAAGAAAACTAAAAATATCTAGCTCTCATATCTCTAGGGCACATTTCCTGACACCTGTAAGCATTCAAATGTGTTTTATCCCTTTTGTTTATTTCCCTTCTGGTTTCCAGGAGTCCTAGAATTTTCTTCATTAAGATTTATTTTCAGAATTTGTATTAAGGAAACAAAATGAATAAGATGAAAATAACCCAGCACACACAAAAGAATTACCATCAAGTGAAATAGATACTAGTGTACAAAATGCTATAGAAATGATATAGACTGTGATAGGGCTGGGCCAAGCAGGTTTCATAAAGGAGTTGACATTTAAGCAGAATTCTGAAAGGCATTATAAGAAAAGGTAACAGTATGTTCCAAAGCATGCAATCATAAAACATTGTGACATGTTCTGAGAACTGCCAGAAATATATATAGATGGATAGGGCATAGGAAAAATTAATAGTAGAAACACTATTATTTAGGAAGGCAGAAAACCTATCACAAAGGACCTTCTGTAAATGACATAAAAAGAGGGTTTATACTCAATTCTACAGAAAATGAAGAGTCATTGGAGAATTTTTAGCTGGTGAGTCAGTTGTGGTTTTATAATAAATACCCTAGCAATGATAAGGAAGATGGATTGGGGTGTGTATAAGAAAGTGTGTGTGTAAGTGTATGTGTGTGTAATTGAATATGTGCCTGCACACATTTCACAAATGAACTTTATTGAGATAAAATTTGCATGCAATAAAATAAATCCATTTTAAATGTACAACTCAATGTTCCAGTGACATGATATAGACTTGTAACCCTCATTACAATTGTAATACAGAACATTTCCACCTCTCCAATCCCTTTGAGCCTCTTTGCAGTCAATTCCCTCCCACCTCTTCTCAACTTCTGGGGATCCCTGATTTGATTTCTATGGTTGGCAGGTTTGCCCTTTTGATTTTTCATGCAAATGGAATCATATAATATGCACATTTTATATTTGGCTTTTTTCATTTAGCATAATGATTCTGAGGCTCATCCACAATTTTGTGTATGTCAGTAGTTTGTTTCTTTTTATTGCTGAACCATTTAAGAATGTCCATTGTATGAATACACCACAATTTGTTGGTACTATTTATCAGTTGATGGACAGGTAGGCTGTTTGGGGGCTTTATGAACAAAGCCACTGTGAATATGCAAAATGGGAGTCTTTGTGTGGACATAAGTTTTTTATTTCTCTTGGGCAAATACCTACAAATGGAATTGCTAGGTCAAAGGGTTGGTGAGGTTGACTTTATAAGAACACAGCTAAACTTTTCTAAAAGGATAATATCATTTTTCACTCTGTCCATAGTGTAAGGGAATTTTCATAGCTATACATCCTGACCCACGTGGTATTTTTCATCTTAAATTGTAGATGTTCTTGTGTGTAGTGGTATTTTAGACACCCTCCATTCAGCCTTTGAATATGCTTATGTGTCATCCTTAGATCTTCTATTGTGAAGTGTCTATTCAAATTTTTGTGGTCATTTGAAAAAATGTATTGTTTGTCATTATTTTCCAATTGAAAGAAAAAACAATATATTTTGGATACAAACAGTTCTTTCTCAGGCAAATATTTTGCAAATATTGACTACTAATGCACTTTTCCTTTCTGGATGATGCATTTTGCAGCATATATTTTGAAATAATTTGATAAAATTCAGTTTATTGTTTTTTTTTTTTTTTTTTTTACTTTCATTCTATCAACAGAACAAAACAAACAAAAACCAAACAAGCAAAATTGTCTAATCCAATGCCACAAGAATCTTCTAATATGTCCTTTTCTAGAAATTTCACCCTGGGATCAGTTCTTAAATTAAAGGCATGACACATTTTGAGGTAATTTTATATAAAGTGTGAAGTAAGTGATAATATATGGGTTTAGCCTTCTTTTTTTTTCCCCTCTCAAAATCACTCTGGATAGAAGTTAATCCACTTGATTGTTCTATACAATCAGCTTTTGATGTTATTGATAGATATAGTTTTCTTTTAAACAGGATAAACATATCTATCTTCTCAAATTATTAGAAGCTTAGATTATTGACTACAGATTCATATTTGGTAAATGAACATTGAATGTTTTAAAATTTCTCCCAAGTATTGCTTTATTAGAGTTCCTACAGATTTTATGTGGTAATTTCATATTCATCCTATTATGGTTTGGATATGAAGTGTCCCCCCACCCAACTCCTGTGTTAATACAGGAATATTCAGAGGTCAAATGATTGGATTGTGGGCACTGTATCCTAACCAGTCCATGCTAGTTTGCGTGGACTACCTGGGTAGTAACTGTAGGCAGATGGGATGTACCTAGAAGAAGTGGGTTACTGGGGATGTGCTCTGTAATGGTTTGTCTTCCCCAGGGCCCCTTACCTCTTTCCCTCTTTCTCTGCTTCCTGGATACCATGTCCTGTTTTCCTCTGCTGTGCTCTTCTGCCATGATATCCTGCTGGGTAACCTTGGGCCCAGAGCAGTGAAACTGACTTACCATGGACTAAATCACTGAAACCATGATCCAAAATAAACTTTCCCTCCTCTAAGTTGTACTAGTTAGATAATTCAATTGTTATGGGCTGATTTGAAAGTTAAGTCAGGCTGACCCCATTCTGCTCTGACATCTCACCCTGTGCAAAATTTGCCCCCCAAATTTGCCCCACTCACATAGAAGCTGACATCTTCACCCTCACCCACTTGCACCCTGACCACAGTGTCTTTAAACTATGGAACAGATATTAGCTTACTTCCTGAGTATGTATAGAAGGTGCCAATTCTGAGAACTTAGTGACACTTTATAAAATGTGTCTTATGACTGTACTTGCCTATCCCACCCCCTTCCTTAGTACTTTTTTTCTGTTTCTAAGTGCCCCCACTCACCCTCATTCAGTGTCTTGGGCTGCAGAACTGTCTAGTTTCTGCTCCCTTGGCTCTGGCCAGAATAAATCCTTTGTCTTTACTTCAAACAGACCTGGAGTTTTATTTGGGATTTTGGAATAGCACCTTAACACAATAACAGCAACACAACTCTAACACACATCCAATTCAAAATATATTATAATTTAGCCTCTTATTTCTTTTTTGACATGCATGTTATCTGGAGTTATGTTGCCTAATTGCCAAATAATTAAGAATTTTCCAGATATTTTTTGTCATTGATATTCTATTAAATTTTGTTGTGTTCAAGAAATATATTCTGCAGGATTTTAACTTTTTTATTGAGATTCGTTTTGTGAACCATAGTATATTCTATTTTGGAGAATGATTTTTGTATACTTGAAGAGTGCTCAATCCGCAGTTGTTTGGTGGAATGCTTTGTCAATGTCAAGCAGGAGAGGTTAGTAGATAATGCTTATGTCTCCTATAACCTTAATAATTTTCTTTCTACTTGTTCCTTCAGTTACTGAGAGATGACTGTTGCAGTTTCCAATTTAACTGGTAGGTATGTCTATCTTTTTTTTTAACCTTTACCAGTTTTGTTTTCTGTTTTAAAACTCAGTTAATGTTAGTACATTTTTAATTTTTTAAATTTTTAATTAACACAATAATTACAGATATTTATGGGTTAATGTGTAATAATTCAATACTAATCAAATCAGGATAAGAATTCCTTATCTTTATTTCTTTGTGTTTAGAGCCATCAAACTCCTGTCTTCTAGTTCTTTGTCACGGTTTTGGTATGAGTTGCTCCCCTAAAACCTCATGTGTTAGGCAATGTAGGAATGTTCAGAAGTAAAATGATTAGATTATGAGAGCTGTAACCTCATTGGTGGATTAATCCATTTGATAGACTGATCAAAGAGACAACTGTAGCAGATGGGGCATGGTTTCTGGAATAATCCCCTGGGACTATATCTTGTCCCTGGTGTGTGTGTGTGTGTGTGTGTGTGTGTGTGTGTGTGAGCCCAAAATAAACTTTTTCTTTTCTAAGTTGTTCTTGTCATATCTACTCACAACTATGAAAAGATGAAGAATATAGTCTTCATAAAATTTTGCCACATACACATCAGATAGACCACTTATCTCCAGGATATAAAAAGAACTCAAAAAACTTAACACCAAAAAAAAACAAACAATCCAATCAATAAATGGGCTATGGAGCTGAACAGACACTTCTCAGAAGAAGATATACATTCAATCAGCAAATATATATAAAAAAAGTTTAACATCTCTAGTAATTAGAGAAATGCAAATCAAAACTACTCTAAGATTTCATCTTATCCCAGTCAGAATGGCAGTTATCAAGAATACAAACAATAATAAATGTTGGAGAGGATGTGGTGGAAAAGGCACACTCATACATTGCTGGTGGGACAGCAAATTGGTGCAACCACTATGGAAAGCAGTATGGAGATTCCTTAGAAAACTGGGAATGGAACCACCATTTGACCCAGATACCACACTCTTTGGTCTGTACCCAAAGGACACTGAGAACTTAGTGACACTTTTAAAAATCAGCATAGTATAGTAACACAGATATATTAGTGTTCATAGGAGCTCAATTCATTATAGCTAAACTGTGGAAGCAACCTAGATGCCCTTCAACAGATGAATGGATAAAGAAACTGTGGTATATATACACAATAGAATATTACTCAGCATTAAAAGAGAATAATATCATGGCATTCGCTGGTAAATGGATGGAGTTGGAGAATCTTAGGCTAAGTGAAGTAAGCCAATCCCCAAAAAACCAAAGGCCAAGTATTGTCTAAGATAATTGGATGCTAATCCAAAACGGGGAGGGAGGAGGGATGGGGAAAATGGAGGAACTTTGATTGGGCAAAGGAGAGGCGGGGAGAATGGGGAGGATGCATGGGAGGAGGAATGATGGTGGAATGAGATGGACAACATTTCCCTAGGTATGTGTAAGACTGCACATAGGATGTGACACTCATTGTGTACAACCAGAGAAATGAAAAGTTGTGCTGCAAGTGTGTACAATGAATCAAACTACATTTTGCTGCAATATATATACCTGATTAAAATAAATAAATTTAAAAAATATATATAACAGGTTGTAAACTAGTCTCACCTTAGGTGCTGTAGAACACACTAGAACTTATTCCTTTACTAAATTGCATTTTGGTACCCATTATTTAGACTTCCTCCATTCCTCTTTCTTCTATTCTTTCCAATCTCTAGAAATCACTAATCTACTCTATTGAGATCAACTTAAGGTTGCACAAGTCAAATTTTGCCATTATGAAATATGCCTCTGCCGGATCCAGGAGCCTAAACATGGATGTGCACCTTTGGAACTTCTGGATATGGGGGCCTAAACATGGATGCCTGAGACATTCCAGATCCTGGGGCCTAAACATGGATGCTTGAGGCACTTCCAGATCCAAGGGCCCAAAGATGGACGTGCACCTGAGACACTTCCAGATCCGGGTGCCTAAACATGGCTGTGCACCTTTGGTACTTTTGGATCCAGGGGTCTAAACATGGATGTCTGAGGAACTTCCAGATCCGGGGGCCTAAACTAGAGACCCGAGGAACTTCCGGTCCTACAGTCTAAACATGGATGTGCATCTGAGGCACTTCTGGATCCGGAGACCTAAACATGGATGTCTGAGGAACTTCTGGATCCGGGGGCCTAAATATGGACGTACACCTTTGGAACTTCCGCATCTGGGGGCCTAAACATGGATGTCTGAGGAACTTCCGGATCCGGGGGCCTAAACATGGACACTTGAGGCACTTCCGGATCCGAGGGCCTAAACATGGACATGTCTCTGGAACTTCTGGGTCCTTGTGCCTATAAATGGCAGGGCGTGACTCTCAGAAGGGACGTGGTCCATGAAGAGGAGCGGAGCATGGGGCGTGTTGGGGGGCAGACTGAGCTGTCGCACCCTGAACTTGAATGTGACGGTGGCCTCACTTCCCTGCCTTCACCTGGGTGTCACTTCCTCCCCTTCCAGGCAGTGCTGGGGAGGAAGTGAGACCAGGCGCAGGGGCCAGGCCTGAGGAGGGACACTGTCTTTCTCCTCGCTTAGCCAGGCGCCCGGCCTGGCTGGGGACAGGGACGATTTGTGACACTGGCTGCCTCCTGCATCCCTGCCCTAGGACCTCAGGGACCACAGGTGGGGACAGTCCTTGATTCTCCCCTGGCCACTGACCCTCAGTCCCAGGGTCTGCCCAGGGAGAGCTCTGTCTCCCAGAGGGTCAGGGGGCCCCTGTGACCTGCTGCTCCTTACCCACCATCATCCTGGGCGAGCACAGGTCAGGACACCAGACGCTACTGAGAGTGACATCTCCTAGATGGGCGGCTGGGGACTTTGCCTCTGTTCCCAGGCCTCGGACACTGGATGATCCCCCCCAGAGACAGAAAATAATCCCACACTGCCCAAGACTTATTTTTAAGCTTTGGATTCTGAAATTTTCCTGCTGTCACCTTCTTTGTGAAGCCAGTTTTTCAACAGAGATAATATTCCAGGGTGGGTGGGGGGACAACAACATGGAGTTAATCAAACCAAGCTGACACATCTGGTCCTCCAAGAGAAATCTGGATTGGAGGGAGAACAGCCATTCTCAACTGGCAAAATAGTGAAGTTCCCTTGTCCTTATTTTGTGTAAGAAAAATGAATAATCCGATGTCAACTCATCAAATTATTCTTGATGAGTGCTTGGCTCATAGGAAAACTGATTCTGTTTTATGGAATGAAGTGTTCCCTGATTTTAAAATTAAAAATGAAGCTAATTAGGATTGTTAAATTACACCATCATAATTCTATTATTTGATAGCAGAAATAAACAAATCTTTTTTTTAAAAAAAGAAAAGAAATATGCCTCTGATTATGAAATATGTATCTGATAGTATTATGTGTTTGATATATTATGAAATATGTATCAGATTATGAAATATGTATCTGATAATATTCCTTATTCTTAAATATGCTTTATCTTAAGATAATATATCCACTCCTGCTTCTTTGTTGTGTTTTTAGTGTTTGCATGGTATAATTTTTTTCTATCATTTGTCTTTGGTCCTATGCATTTCTCCATACTTATAGTCTGTTTCCTATAGGCAGTAATTGGTTGCATCTCATACTTAAATCCAATCTGACAATCTGCAATTTGGGGAATGTTTATAGCATTTATGACCATTGTAACTATTGATATGGTTGAGTTTTAAACAAGAGTCTTGGTATTTATTTTCAACTTGATCAATCTCCTACTATCTTGTATTTGTTCCCTTTCCCTCACTCTACTTGTGCCTCCTTTGATTAACTAATGTTTTTGTTTTACTTAAATTTTACCTCTATGTTGGTTTATATCATTTGTAAGAACTTAAAATTTTCAGTGACTTCTCCAGGGTTTAAAATGCATGTCTTTCACTAGTCACTCTCTACCTTTAAGTAGTATCATACTACTTGAGGTAGAATGTAAGAACTAAATGGTAAGCTTGTCTTTCTTCTCTCTTATTTTTTATGTAATTGCTGTCCTACCTTTTAATTCTGCCTATATTATGGACCCTAGAATTTATTATTTTTTGAACATTTGATTATCTTTTAAAAGGATTGAAGAAATTGGAAAGCATGTCTTTCATATGTACCTACCTACTTATTATTTCCAGTGTTCTTAATTCTTTTGAGGAAACTGGTATCATTTCTTTGTTCTTATGCCTGAACAACTTCCTGTAAAATTTCTTTCTTTCTTCCTTTTTGTACCAGGCATTGAACCCAGGGGCACTAAATCACTGAGTCACATCACCAGCCGTTTTATGTTTTTTATTTAGTGTCAGGGTCTCACTGAGTTGCTTAGGGCTTGCCAAGTTGCTGAGGCTGCCTTTGAACTCATGATCCTGCTGCTTCAGCTTCCTGAGCATCTGGGATTATAGGCATGAACCAACGTGCTTGGCTTGTACAATTTCTTTTATAGAAGATATGATCCAATGAATTGTTTCTGTTTTAGCTTATCTGAAAAATATTTCCACTTAACTTATCAGTTATATTTTAAATTTATGAAATAAATTTTGATTGATAAGGAATTCTAGGTTGAAAGTTTATTCTTTCAATGCTTTAAGAAGGTTACTGAATTTCCTTGTCTTGGGGGTAGTTCCTGATGAGAAGTCTATGTTAATTCTTCATTCCTTTGTATTTAACTATAAAATACTAATCCATTTATTTGTTAGTATTTTTTGTTGGCATTTGTTGAGTTATTTGTTGATATTTGTTGAGGTTTATAATTTTTGTCAAATCTATGACATCTATTGGTTATCATTTCTTCAAAAGCTTTATTCTGTTCTCTTCTTCTTTTTTTAGTATTTAAAAAAATTTGTTCTAATTAGTTATACATGACAGTAGAATGCATTTTGACACATCATACATAAGTGGAGTGTAACTTCTCATTCTTCTGGTTGTACGTGGTGTAGAATCACACCAGCCCTGTAGTCATATATGCATATAGGGTTATAAAGTCTGATTCAGGAGGTTAGGGAAGAATAGAAGTTCTTTCTTCTTTTTATGGTGCTTTAATTATAAATGTTAGACTACTTGATGTCATCCTTGGGTCATTATGTCTCTATTTGTTTTTCAATGTTTTTACCACTGGTTCATTTGGGATAGCTTGTATTTTGCTTTCAGGTTCATTGATATTTTCTTTTGCATTGTCTAATCTGCTCTTCATCCTACCCAAGGTATTTTCTTTTACTTTAAAGTTATATCTGAGTCTGTTTTACATCTTCACCATATTTATGTTTTCTTCTACCTACTTGATCACACAGAGAATATTTATAATAGCTGCTTCAATGCATTTGTCTACTAATTTATCATTTTGTTATTTCTGCATCTATGGACTCATTTTGTTTGTGTGTGTGTGTGTGTGTGTGTGTGTGTGTGTTGCTGGGAATTGAACCCAGGGCCTTGTGCATGTAAGGCAAGCACTCTACCAACTGAGCTATATCCCCAGCCCTATGGACTAGTTTTCTTGTTTATGTGTCATTTATTTCCCTGCTTGGTAATTTTGATCAGACATCAGGCATTTTTAAATTTTGTATTTTCCAGAATTAAGTTTTGTTTTATTATTCCAATGGTGCTGGACTTTGTTCAAGCACATATTTATTTGGTTTTGGTTTTTTTTGCCTTCAGGGAATGCTTTCAAGATTTGTTAAGAAAAACCCAGATCAACCTTTGAGGCACATACCCCAGGGAGTTGTTTGCACACTACAATAGGGCTTGATCAGTGTCCCTTTTTACTTAGTGCTTTATTCATTTTGATTTTTCCAAATTTCAGTATAATGCATACATTTATGGAAACTTCCACAAATATTCATTGGCTGAATAAACAGAGAAATTGATTTGCTTAATTAAAGGAAAAGAAACTGCCTTTGAATTAAAAACATTTCTAAGTTTATTTGTCAACAGGTAAATAAAATTACTAGTAGATTACTGATTGAGTTAAAACATTTTTCTAACAAATTTGCTGGATTTAATTTTGGCTAGATTTGAAAATAATCAATTCAAAGTTGTTCACAAATAGGTGTTTTAAAGCGAATACCTAGCTGGATGTGATGGAACATGCCCGTAGTCACACCTACTGGGGCGGTTGACATAGGAGAATCTTTAAGTCTAAGGCCATCCTCAGTAACATAGTGAGACCCTGTCTCTAAATAAAATCAAAAGGATTGGGAATATAGCTCAGTATAAAAACACCCTTGGTTCAACCCCCAGTACCTCAAAAAAAAAAAAAATTAAAATGTGAGTATCTAGATACTAAAGTAGCTACAGGAGAGCAGAAAGAATATGAGTCTCCAAAAAAGAAAATCTGATTTAAATATAGATTCCCATACTTACTGGTTGAGTTGTCTTGAGCAAGTTACTAATGACTTTAAGAGGTAAGCAAACTTTGGCCCAAGGGCCTGCCATCTGTTTCATGAGTATGGTTTTATTGGAAGACAACCACACTCATTCTTTAAATATTGCCTTTAGCTGCATTCATGTGAAAGCAGCAGAATTGAGCAGTGGTGACAGAGTCTGAATGTCCCACAAGGTCTAAGATATTTACCTTCTTATCTTTTATTAAAAAAAAGTCTCCTGGCCTAGCAGTAGAGCCTCATCTTCTTTACCTGTCTTTACGTGTAAAAAAGGGACAATAGCTTCCATTTCACAGGACTGTGGGATGGGGGGGGATGGTGATGGGAGGGTGGGGGGGATGGGGGTGGCGAGGGGTTGGGGGGGGGAGGGTGGAATGGGAGGGGAACCTTACTATGTGCTGTGCTTAGCATATGGCCCTCCTGCAAAGACTTGTTAAATTTGAATATGAACATTCTATCCTCTTCTGAATACAAAGCTATTTTCTTTCTAACCTTACATTTATGAGGTGAAACAATTATATATCAAAAAGTAGAATTTCATATAAGAGCATTGTGTTTTGCTTAGTCATTATGACTTTGTCAAACAAAATAAACTTTACATATCTTTGTCATAAATAATTTAATAATCATATTAGTCTTTGAACGCTGTGATTAATGCAGTGGGAAATTCACAGACTGAATACAAACAGAAAGGAGGCAGTGGAATATTTCTGAGTCTACAAGTGGTAAAGATTATTATTTTCTTTGTGCAATAGCAGACATAAAAAGTTGTAATACAAATCAAATTTCTTGGTGTTTCTTTCTTGAATGACACTGTTAAAAATATGGGATTATTTGTTTTTTTCTGCACTTTATATTTAGAAATACATTGCATGAAAAATGAAAAGGTAATTCAGAAACAAAAATAACTAGGAATATTTTACATAAAAGACTGTTCCATCAGCTGTGTATTGTAATTCTCAGCTACTGATATGGATTGTGGCAAGAAGGTAAATACCAAAAGGCAAGTCAAAAGAAGGTATTTACTGCTTATAGAATTACTTTTATTAAATTGTGCTCTGTAGGGATTATCACTATATACTGAGGTAAAATACAAGAACATTATTGGACATACCCTATCTGGTCTTAGTGCAATAATCATTGTACTTGTCCTGACAAATTGCTGGCTTTATATTATAGACACAGTGCTTTAAGTAATTGATTAGGTTTCCATGTTTTAGTGAATCTGATAGAATACTTAGAGCCAGACTGTGACTCAGCTATAGCAATCATATAGATCTTGCAAAGTATATTTTAGCATCATTCCTATTTGGATTTTATGTTCTTTGTCTTTTCTTTTACTCTGCTTCTATTTATGCTATTTAAATGTGTTTTATGTAATTTTGCAAGCCACATTCAATCCTTTCTAAAAAAACATTGAATATAAATAGGTAGGTAATAGGAAGTAAGTTGCCAAGGTAATTTTCAGAGAAGTGCTGATATTCTTTTTGGTTTTCTCCTTCAAATAACTGATAAATAACATAATAACATCACTCCTAGCTTACCACTTCATAAATCTCACAATTTAAAGCAAAACTCTTAGGCATATCAGTTGCTTAGAACTCTATATCACATACACACACAGAAAAAAAGGAAATAATTTTTATTGCAACTGATTCACTAATTTTAAACTAAGCCAATGATTTAAAGACAAATTCTCTCCTAAATATCAAAAGAAGTTATACTTATGGTCTATATTTGGGCCATCAGTCACATCAATTTTATTTGCTTGGTAAAGATGTTTGGAAGTAGTTACATTCAAAAAAGCTATGTAAGTAGAAGTACAAAAAAGACATTTTTTATGTATGCAAAATCCCAAATTATTCATTAAACTACCTAGGCATTTGTTAAGCACTGACCATGTGTTAAGTACTATTCTCAGCAGTGTGGATGTAGCAATGAATAAAATAGGACACTTTCCTTGTGATATCTTTGAGAAGACCTGTATTATAGTAGATGGTTCTCCAAGAGTTGAGAAACACATGGAATAAATTTATAGTAACTTTGATAGGGGACGGACAGATGTAAGTGGTGGGAACATTAAGGGAATGATTCTATAAAATAGACCCACTGTGTTGACTCCCACCTGCTTTCCTTTCCAGGAAGCAATTTACCTCCGACACTAGCTGACTTAAATGGACAGGATATGTCACGTTCCCCAGCAAATACCTGTTACCTGCAGGAGAAATGCAGCCTTCAAAGAATTCCCATGAAAGGAACACAAGTACCCTGAAGGAGAGAATTTTGTGACCCTCTCACAGACTAGATCCTGAAACTTAGGGAAATAAAGGTAATTATCCCTAAACATGATGTGTGTAAAAACAAATTCCCCAATTAGAACTCATCAGTATGAGCCAGAATGACCTAGAGTTGTCATGCACAGTGGGGACTTGAATGAAAGTCTGCTATCATCTGCCGTCATCAAAAGTCAAGAAGTGGACCTGTGTGGACTCTCTGGAAACTTCCCTGGGATTCCCAATTAAACTGGAGGGCAGGAGAGACATGGTGTCCCTTTTCTGTCTGAGAATATCTACTCTCTCCTTTAAGAATGTCCCCTTTCCCCCTTTCCCATCCCTTCTAATAAATTTATGATGGTTCCTCTGAGTGACATGTCTGAATCTTTCTGACTTGAGGCCGTGAATTGGGGTTGGAAAGATCTACAACATGCACTTTGTCCTACTCAGTGACGGGCAACAACTGATTTAAGAACTAGATTAAAATGATATATCAATTACATATGCAAAGTATGACTTAATAAGAGAAATTTCCATTTGTAAGGCCATCTCCCTCTATTGGGAAAAAAAATTGGAAAGATATTGCTATAGTTTGAATCTGGAATATTCCTACCCAAAGTTCATGGGTTAAGCAATGCAGCCATATTTAGAGTTGAAATGATTGGATTATGAGAGCTGTAACCTCAGTAGTGGATTGATCATTTGATGGATTAATAATTTGAATTAACTACTGGGTGGTAACCAAAGCAGATTTGGGTTTGACTGGAGGAAGTAGATCACTGGGAGCTTGTCTTTGGGACTATATCTTGTCCCTGACACCTAGAGTGTTCTGCCTCTCTCTCTGCTTTCTGACTGCCACAAACTGAGCGGCTTTCCTCCACTGTAGCTTTCTGCCATGACGTCATGCCTCATCTCAGGCCCAGAACAATGGAGTAGACTGACCATAGATTCATGACAATAGTTGTGAAACACTGGACAAGTTACTTGGCTTATCTGTGGCTCAGTTTCCTCATCTATAGAATGGAGTTTACAGAAGCTCCTGCCTTGTATCTGTGTCATGACAATTAAATATGAAAAGCTATTAGAACAGGACATGACCTAATGTAAGTCATTGATATTTTATAACATTTTTCTGTTCCTCAGTTGAAATTTCTAAATTAGCATCCTGTTGCTTTATCCTCTTTTCTCTTAATTCCTTGACTCCTATCATTAGACTATCTGGATTTAAGTCCATCCAAGGCACTATTCTATACCTAGGGCTCTGCTGCTGTGGATTCTTCTGCATAAAAGCTTTTCCTCTTTTCTGCTCACTATGCATAGTTCACATAATTATGAAAAATGAACCTCTTCATCAAATATTTCCTAAGCTTGTCTTTGAAAAAGCAAGTTCTAAATGGTTCCTATGCCAGGAGGAGAGTAAGGTAATAATTTTTCTTTTTTAGTGGCAGTTAGAAATTAAAGCTTTCTGGGGAAGAATTTAGTAGTGAATTTCAATGCCTGTTTCTTTATTTTGTCTTTTAAGCAGATAGTTCTTCAGTGATAGTGAGCGACTCTTTTGAAGGTAAGTCAGTAATTTCTTTGATGTTCATGATGGTTGTGAATAATACTCCATTCCCAATTTATGACATATTCAAGGAAATCATGTCTTTATTTAATTGCTTTTTTTCTGATTTCTCAAAGGTCATAATAGTTGAACTTTGAGTTCACAATAATGTCATTAGAATCACAATGCAAATAATGTGAAATTATGCCACTGATTTCTTGATCTGAGTCTTCTGCAGTTTCAAAATGACAAAACTTAACATTTTACCTACTGAGTAGATTTCAGTTGCCAGAAAAATACTTTGCATTTTTCCTCACTGAAGGTCATGGGATTTTTTAATATTCTCCAGTGGAGATCAAGCAAGATTAGAATTCACAGAACTTTCTGGGTTTTTTTTTTTTTGTTAGCAGAAAAATTCCCAGCTATAAAAAAATAAATAGAAAAACAACTCCTCTAAGAAGTTAGAATCTTGTATATTTCAGCAAAAAAAGAGATGTAAGCTGTTTTTGTGGAATGGTTATAGAACTTTATGTAGTAAAATTCTTAGCTCAATTTTTTTTTTCTGGGTTGGTTTTATCCACCAAATAACTGGTATGAATTCATCAAATCTGTCTTTTTTTTTTCAGAATGAAACCAACAAATCTTGAATACATTCCACAGGATGCTCACTGAACCTGTAGGATGTTCATTCATTCACTCATTCATTCAGTGCTTATTTATTGAGCACATACTGTGTCAGGGATAGACATTGGGGCAGAGAGGCACAAATCAAAACAAAAAGAAAATCACTGCTCATAGTGTGTACATTTTAATAAGAGAGATGAGCAATATGTTAATAAATAAATAATTCTATAAAATATCATGTAATGACTAGTACTGTGAAGGAAACCAAGATAGTGTAAGAGGTCAGAAAGCAGAAAAGGAGCTTATTTTAGGAAGAATTATTTATTTAAGAAGGCAAAAACTTTCTGACAAAGTGACAGCTGAGCATAGATCAGAATAAGGTAAGGGAGAAACACAAAAATATCTAGAGAAGAGTGCTCCAGGCAAGAGAATAGCTGTGGAAAGTATCTTGGAACCTTCTAGAAGCAGCAGGGTGGTAGAGCAGCCCAGGAAGACACATAGGAGGCAGACATGGATAAAGGTGAGACCAGACAATGAAAGACTTTGTAGACCTTGCTCAGGGCTATGATTTTCATGCCGAGTTGACATGAACTGTTGGAACCATTTTTCTGCTGAGGTCGGGGTGGGGACTTTATTTCATGCTTAAAAAAAAAAAAAAAAACCCTGTGGTCACTAAATGGAAAATATGTGGTAGGTTGGAGGTGAGAAGTAGACTATTAATTCTATTTTTTTCTTGAGGCTTCTGGAATCAAACAAGTTTTAAAAACATTACATTAAACAAAGGTAAATGTTAAGGGTTTTTTTTTTTTTTTTTCCCAGAGTCAATGTGTTGATGTATCTTGTATATTTCAAATAGTATGGTAGAATATTCAATGTTCTCAACTGTAGCCACATAAATCTTTTCTGGGAACCTCTTAAGAGATTAGTGTTCTACGGACCTAGCTCAGGGTGATGCAGATGTAGACACCACTTGAGTATATCATATCCCTTCTGAGAAACGCAAACACTTTTGAACAGGGCCAAGAGTGTAGTTTCTTGTCAGAGTTCCTCATAATTTCTTCTGTGACCTTCATTCCTGACCCTGGTGAGGTTGTTTACTGCTTTCAGCCTGGCTTTGTGAGAATAGATTTTGTCAGGTTCGGCTTTGAGAATCAGGGCACTGAAAATCATTATATAGCTTTTGAATAAATATCCACAATTATTCTTTTACCACAGGAAACTGGCACATAGCAGGATTTTGTGTAACACCATGGAGGTAATTTGGGCTTCTTATGGAGTGGCCAGGTTTTAATGGGTAGAAGAGTCCTGGATTTTTTCAAGAGAAATGTTATGCCCTTTTGGGTAGAATGTCACCCCAAAGCCAAAGTTATTCACACTAGGAAGCACACTCATTATTTTAGAAGTAGTTCCTGAGCTAATAGACACAGAATTCTCATGAAAACCTTTGTTTTTTCTCAACATGTGTTTCTTAATTACCTATGAAAACAAACTCCACATGTAACTGTCTTATTCACCACATTTGAATGTCTCTGAACAGACACCAACTAATTTTCTACCAATTTCCTCCTATCATTTTGCTAAATTAAAATGTTTTAAAGGTTAATTGTCAAATCTTTGGGAGGGAAAGAAAAAAGCTTTCTAAAGGCTAAGTTTCCAAACTAAGTAATATGTCCTTATCCCTGTTAAAAACACTTGTTTAAGGTGGTTTGGATTGACTTTGTTGGAGGTTGGGTCACTTAGAAACTAAAAGGGAAATAGCTGTAAAAGGGCAGAGCGAAATGAGATTTATCCTTGGAGCCAGTGAAACTTCTTACCTTACTTTGGGAAAGAAGGCAGAGAATGGAGCAGAGTGGGCATAGATATGGGGCAAGGGCTTTGCAATTAGGAGATTTTCAGAAGGAGTACCAACTTCATCACTTCCTACATGTGTGGCAACTGCTTGTGACTTATATTCTGAGCACCAACTTCTCTAATAAGGCGATGGTGATAGCTTCTTAATGAGACTGTTGTGAAGATAATAAAAATGCAACTTATTTGTTCCTATCCCTGGGTGAAGATTTGATTCTTGCCAGCATTCCAACCTTGAAGTAGAACTTGGATTTTTATATTTACTAGAAATAAATAACTCAAAAATATTAGTGAACAGTGTATGTTTTCCTAAAAATTTTGGAGGAAAACAAAAGGTGGGCATCCATGTGGCAAATGGTATAGCAATGTATTCCAATATTCCCAGTTAGCTCTGTCCTGTTGAGTGGTTAGAGACTAGCAATTGTAGTAGCTCACCCACAGATTCCTTCTTCCTTTTGGCAGTAGAAGCCCCACATTTTAGCTGAGACCATTGCTGCCCAGCACATATGACATATCTTCACTTTCCTGTCATCCAGGTGTGGCCACATAACCAAGTGAGGCTCATGAGGCATAAACAAAAATGATGTGTGTAACTGGTCCTCTTTCAAAGTTAAAGCTTCTTGTCTTGGATGCCCTCTCATTTCCCATGGCTTGAAGAATACTGGCAATTGTAACAACTTATTAGAAACTAGAAGTCCCCAACTAGTAGCATTTAAAAATTAGCATTTAAATGTCCCTGAACAAGTCCCTGAGCTCTTAAATGCTAACAAAATAAACTTTCTCATTTAAGCCACTACATTTTAGGTTCTTGTTAAAACAGCTTAGTCCAGTCTCTAGACCCATTCTTGGTCTCAGGTCTCCCTTCTCTCTTTATCCTCCAGGGCCTTGCTTTCCAGGCTACAATCTCTCCTTTGTTAGATTTAATATTACATCTTGCTCCTTTTCTCAGGCAGTCCCATTTAATTTTTTTCTATTCTCTCCAATTATTTGTCCTCCATTCATCATTCTTCTTTCATAAAAGACACTGCAGTCACTAGAATATATCTTCTTTAGAAGAAAGAAGAAGATTACAAATTACATTTTTTCCCCATATCACACATGAAAAACCTCATGTGGAGACAGGTATGTGAAAGGTGCTCAGTGATGAGGTCTTCTTCTATTTCTTCCTTATCCCAGTCTCATCTCCAAGAGCTGACATTAATCCTGGGACAAACTGGAAAGACTTAAAGACCTATTTCTGCTGTGGTTACTGTGGACAATATGCTGTGGATTAACACTGAGGACCTGGGAAAATCCAGATCAATGATAATCCAAGCCAGGCTTAGATGCTTTAAGAAAGTTTGGAGCCAAAGAAA